GTTATAACTATATATTTTCCATAAACGAACAAGATTTTAAAATTCCAAAAAGGTGTATGTTGCGCATATAAGACGACCCCACATTTTGCGATCGTAATTTGCTATTTTAAAGCGAAATCCAGCCTCGCACATCACGTCGTTGAGAACTGCATTAGAAACATTATCACAAACTGGATGATGTCTTGATACTTTCTTTTTCAATTTTTATCCAAATCTTTAGCAATGGCTCCCATTTAAGTTAATAAAAGAGCAATATATTCGCATGGTAAATGTCAAGCTAACTCACATGCAACAAGGTTTGGTTGTTGACATTGTTTTTTCAACAGTTTCGTATGTTACCATTAATTTTTTTTTTCTGGTTTCAGATTCATTGTTAATCTGAAGATTTAATGACCATCCAGGAGCTCAGAAATTGAGTTGCAACATGTCTCTAGAAAGGCTCTCTACTATTCTTCCCTCAGTTGTGAATTCCTCTTGGTAAGCAGTAGGTTTAGAAGAATACCTGTTGATAAGAATAGTTAATAGCAGTTGAAATTTAGAGTAATGGTGGAATCGTAATTCCCTCCCCCCATTTCCAGTGCCAAAAATTAAGAATCCCAGTTCCAATGAAAAACTAATGGTCATTTTTAGTACTTCAATCCACTTAACTATGAAACTATGCCTATGCCCATATGTGGGACCTTGCCATGATGTTATACGAGACTGACACCGATTCAGTAACTTTATTTTGAAATATCTCCACCTAGCAGTATAATGTGTACGTGGTGGGTTGCCTGCTACTGTGTCAATATGGTAGCAATATTAAGCACGTAGACCCAATGACCAAGGGAAAACAAATGGCTTTGTAACCTACAGTAAAGGAAGGTTGATACAAGTACAAAATAACAAGTAATGTGTATTGATAAATTAAATACTTTAAATTTTGACTATATCAACAAGAATTTCTGCATACCTGTTGCTACAGAAACATTAAGAGAATCTATCCCAGCATGCAGTTCTCGACCAGGATGTACAGTTAAGAACATGTTGCAGCAGTTTGCAATGTCATCCCTCAAACCGAAGCCTTCGTTTCCTAAATGTTATAAAGATGGTTGAATGGATTATCAAAATATAGACAAATCTAATTTGTGATTCTAGATGAAATTCCAGTTTGAAGCGCAGAATAACAGAGCATAACAAACTAACGCTGAATATGAGTTTCCTGGCCCCCTAATATTTTCCCGCCAATTATATTAGACACATCATTTTGATGATATATGACTAGATAAAATTTCAAAAAAGTATGTTTGTACATGCCTACTTGTTTTGGCACACGGGAAGGAACCGAAAAAAAAGGTCTGACAATCAACATGTTAAAACCTTTTGGACAGGCCAGGTCAGTTGCAACACATGGGACAAAAATATATTTTGGGCTCAGAGAATTTTTTTACATCTCGAAATAGCTTAAAATTGCCCAAATTGGCCAGTTCCTCTAGGAACCAGGAAGGGTCACTGGCTCTCAGCTGGAAATTATCCGGCCTGTGTCAGAAGTTTTGGAGCATAGAATTTCTGTAGTCGTGGACACAACAAACATGTAACATAATTGGCCTGCTGTTATTGATAAGCGCTTTGCTGCCCTTGGTATAAAAATCCACCTTTCCCCCTCCCCAGTTTTCAAATATTCTGTTCCAGAGTTTTTATTGTTGATTTTAAAATATCAATTGTACAACATATTAAAAATTTGTTTTGCTCCATTTTCTGACTTGTAATATTCATGACATCATACCTACAACTAAGATTGTTGGTTTCTGAATATCAATCCCTCCACTAGGTACATGGCAGTCATCATTCCCATCAAGCTCGGTCCCGTATTGTTTATCACTACTTGATGAACCTACAACATCCCAGCCCATCAGAGACTGCAGAAAACCTGCTAGGTCATTGACAGCGTAGACTGGCTGGACTTCCATGACTCCGCTGGATGCTTTGCTGACCACTGGGGTCAAAGAGCAACTGTGGGGAAAAGCTGCCGTATAACTTTTTTTACAAAGTGGCAATTCTTACGCCGAGATGTAGTGAATTGAGATAGCGAGAGTTACTTTGAAGGTTAGGGTAAAGCCAAGTCGACCAATCTGTGAGTTGGAATTTCGATCACTTTCCACGTAAGCATAGCCACAGCGATTGATTAGAAAGTAATCAAACCAACTGACTACTATTTTATCTGTGTCAATGTTTATTGGAAGAGAATAATACAGAAAAATCATGATTTTATTTATACGTTTTGGGAAGCATCTTTCTGATCTACCATGCCCTCCTATAATTTGCATGATGGTTCTGTGTTACAGATGTGTCCATTTAATTGTTTACATCAAGGTATATAATACATTATTATTATTTCACTAACCTATTTTTCCTACTAACAATAACACCATCAGCTCCAAGGAAATACGATGACCTCAGCACTGCTCCAAGGTTCATGGGATCCTGTAAAATACAAAATAAAATTGTTTCTTCCATTACCATAGGAACATAGGTCAAACTACCATTCTAATCAAACTCAATTTTCTTCTGTGGTAGCAATCACTTCCAGAAGACAAGAAATAAATGATGCAGGGGTAGTGCCACAGCTTATCTTTGGTGTTAAGTATAACTTCACTCTCTATGTATCAATAATGATACATAGAGAGAGACTTTTTGCAAGGTTTATATTTAGTCATGTAGGGAATTCCTGAGCAGCCCCTGTTAATATCTTGTAAATTTTCTGTTATGTGAATCAGGTATTAGCCCATAGTATACTGGGCCCTATGAGAGAACCGTAAACTACGTCTGACAGAGGCCTGACATTTACCAGCACAGAGGCCCTGGTAGGGGTCCAGAGAAGCGAAGCCCTTCCCTGGAGCATAGAGAAACTATTGAAGAGGTATCCCAGTTTAATAAACAATTATTTTGTGTTGTCATGGAACCATTGTTTTTTATTTTGCTTTTGTTAAACTGAGTGGCTACACTTATGCCGAGATGTAGTGCATTGAGATAGCAAGAGTTAGTTTTAAGGTTAGAGTCAACCTAAGTTGACCAATCTGCGAGTTGAGATTTCAATCACTTCGGCGTAAGCATAGCCACGGCATTTGTAAAACTTACTATGATCTGGTCTAATGCTAACCAGATTGGCATCCTACTGCCCGGTGCTTTCATATCCTGCTCCTCAATGAGTGGTGTGTAGTACAACCTACTCACTTCCATGCAAATTCCCTATGAATTTGGAAGTATAAAAATCATCTCAAAAAGGGAATTATTTGATTACGGTATTTGATTTTACGCAACAACATAAAATACACATAAAACAATATATGTGGCAAAGACACGCCAAACTAGTCACTCGTTGCAAATTGTGTTTCAGAGAGAAAATGGCCAAAACATGCTGGAATGTCAATTCTTTTTTAAATTTATTTTATTGGACTTAACTAACCTACTGTAGGTTACAAAGCCA